ATTTCAGTTGTCTTGCTGTACCTCCCAGACTTCTCTCAAGTACCCCTAAGGGTACTTGTACACTGGTTGAGAAACACTGATGTAGATGGTGCTTGGTCCTGCCATGAGGGCAGGGGACTGGACTTGATGACCTCTTGAGGTCTCTTCTAGTTCTAATGTTTTATGATTCTATGTGGTAAGATTATCCATTGATACATCGTTTTGGGATGGAAAGGGGGAATTGGAAGACTTTAAAAAATGATTAATTTTTTTAAAATCCCAGATTAACAACAGGTTAAAATTACAAACAAATATATTTTAAATAATAAACCATAAAACCTTTTTCCTGCCCATGTCTGAGGTGGATACAGACACCTGCATACATGAAGTAAATATTCACAGATTTTCAGGACTCTAATTTTTTTATCGGACATCCCAATTTTTCTCTCTTCATTCACTGGGTTGAACTGGCCATCCAATCTTTTATAATTACCACTGTCTGAATAATATTAACATGTGTTTTCTTAACAAGTATCTTCTCATGCCTGCAATTTAAATGGGAACATTACTCTCAGCTAGTTATGCTTTTATCTGCCTTTAGTAGATTTGTTTTCTGTGCAGAACCGAAGTGCACAATAGCTTCAGAGACTACATATTTGCATTGTTGACACTTGTGGGGAACTAACATCTATGTGTGTATCCCTTTAAGATTCAGAAAAAGAAAATAGCAAAGAGATTACACTGTGTTTATCAATATAGAAGAAGCTTATTCTTTATGAAAACGAGTAGTCCTGTAGCACCTTAGGGTGTATCTACACTGTGGTACAAGGTCGAATTCAGATACACAAACTTTAGCTATGTTAATTGTTTAGCTGAAGTCGAAGTAGCTTAACTCGACTTTAGGCGTTATCCGCACTGTAGTAAGTTGAAGGGAGAGTCTTCTCCCTTAAACTTCCCTTGCTCCTTGTGAAAACATGACTACCAGCATCGACCAGAGTGCCCTCGGTTTGAATTAGTTGTCTTAACAAGGACCTGCCAATTCATACCCTGGAAGATCAACAGCGACAACTGTAACTTCTCTATAGTGTATACATACCCTTAGAGACTTACCACCCTTAGGCTATGTCTAGACTGCAGGCTTCTTTCGAAAGATGCTCTTTCGAAAGCATCTTTCGAAAGAGCATCTTTCGAAAGATCGCGTCTAGACTGCACGAGGATCTTTCGAAAGAAAAATCCGCTTTTTCGAAAGAGAGCACCCAGCGAGTCTGGATGCTCTCTTTCGAAGACGGCCTCTTTACATTGAAGAACGCCTTCCTTCGAAAGAGGAACTTTCGAAGGAAGGCGTTCTTCCTCGTGAAACGAGGTTTACCGCCATCGAAAGAAAAGCCGCGTTCTTTCGAAATAATTTCGAAAGAACACGGCTTGAGTCTGGACACAGGGGAAGTTTTTTCGGGAAAAGGCTACTTTTCCCGAAAAAACCCCTGAGTCTGGACACACCCTTAGAGACTTACCAAATTTTTGTTTGTGTGTGTGTGTGTGTGGTGTGTGTGTGTGTGTGTGTGTGTGTGTGTGTATATGTGTGTGTGGTTTTTGCCTATGAAAGCTCGTGATACCCGTGGGCTGTGTCTACATTGGCACCGCTTTCCGGAAAAGGGATGCTAATGAGACACTTCGGAATTGCAAATTCCGCGGGGGATTTAAATATCCCCCGCGGCATTTGCATGAACATGGCTGCCGCTTTTTTCCGGCTCGGGGTTGTGCCGGAGAAAAGCGCCACTCTAGACGGGATCTTGCGGGATCAAGTAGGAATAAGGGATCTTCCGGAAAAGTGCTTATTTTCTGCAAGATCCCGTCTAGACTGGCACTTTTCTCCGGCAAAACCCCGAGCCGGAAAAAAGCGGCAGCCATGTTCATGCAAATGCTGCGGGGGATATTTAAATCCCCCGCAGAATTTGCAATTCCGAAGTGTCTCATTAGCATCCCTTTTCTGGAAAGGGGTGCCAATGTAGACACAGCCTGAGAGACTAACTATATATATAGTATGTCTAAACTATGTCCCTTTTCAGTAAAGGGTGTAAATTAGACATATCCAAATTGTAAATTAAGCTGGGTTTTGAATTTCCCATGCTTCATTTGCATAATGGTGACCGCGGCTTTTTTTCAAAAAGCCGCTTTTCAGGAAAAAACGCTGTCAAGATGGAGATCTGTAGACAGAAATGCCCCGTTTCGAAAGATCCTGTAAGCCTAAAAAAAATAGGTTTACAGGATCTTTTGAAATGGGTCATTTCTATCGAAAGACCGTGGGGTTTTCTTTGTTTTTTTTTCCCTAAAAGTGTTATGCAAATGAAGCATGGGAAATTCAAATCCCAGAATCATTTGCAATTTCGATATGTCTAATTTATATCCTTTTATCGAAAAAGTGATGTAATTTAGACATACCCTAAAGTGCAACAGGACTACTCATTTTTAAAGTTACAGACTAACGTAGCTACCCCTCTGAGACTTACTCTTTATGATCAGCCTATGTTGTTTTTAAATACAGCTTTGTAAAATTCTCAAGCCCTTAGAGAATTCCTGACTTGTTAAGATACTTCAGATTACGACCAGCATGTGAATTATCTTGTTGATTTCCTTTACTAATATTCATTGCAGTTGTTGTTTTCATTGAAAGCATGTTTTAATTTATTTTAAATGCTGATCCAACTGGGAGACAATACTAGTTAATGAAAGAAGATTTCATTTTTAAATGAAAGAATCTATTTAAAAAGATTTCTGGGAACATTTTGTGTCCTTCCATTAGACACTTTCCACTTTAAAAAAAAACAATCTTTAGAACTGGGGAACTGCAACAGGTATTACAGAATGTTGCTGCACATTTTTAATCTTCTGCAAGTAACATCGAATAGCTGCAGTGAGCTCCACCAGCAGTTACAGATAAGTGTGTTCAGATTCGGTGCTTACTTTGTGACAGAGCTTGCCAGGAGTGAGCCCTGGCACTTCTGGGTTTGGCCGTTAATAGCTCGGGAACCTTTGAGCTTGCTGCATCAGTTAGGACTGTAACAAAATTGTTTGAGCCTGGCACCAGACTCTTATAAGGCAGCTCTGCATAACTTAGCCATCAATGTAAGATGTTACATTGTGTATTTGTCTATGCCACTTTAGAAAAATTTGCCATCGTCTGGTCATGTTTAGTTAGTGCACTATTTCCCCAGCATATGGAGCCATTGTGATGATTTGGTTGCACAAATTGTGTCTGAACACATCACAGATATCATTTACGTCCTCAGATTACAATCAGGAAAATGTTTTCTTCTGATCTGTAAATCAGTTTTCAAAAATGCCGCACGTTCTTGCAAATTAAGTCGAACAATTTGTAAGCAACTACAAAATAACATTTTCCGGATGAGAGAGAGAGGAAGTGGATAAATATAAGAATGTTCTGTAGCAGGTCATGCGTGTATCTCACTTAATCATTTCCCTGTCATTGCAAGGGTCTGGAGCATCAGGGCCCCTTGTGCCTCCATCCCACCCATTCTTTGCCTGTGACCCATCATAGTTTAGTCTCCTCGGGCTGTCTTACATTGGTCTGTTTTAGGCTGTGGGATTTAATGTGCAGGTGCTGTCTGGTGTGGGTGACTGATGTCATACAGGAGGTCTGATGTGGCAGTCCCTTTTAGCCATAAACTCTATGACTCAAATATACTGTTATGGCTGCATAAGCAATTACGCTCTGAACCCTTTTTTCCAGTCTAATTTGTAGATGTGATCTTAGCTAGAGTTTGGGCAGATGAGCCTCAGCGTGGGAAGAAAGGTTTTATATATATATATACTTGTTTAATTTATAACACCACAAAAAATATGCATAGGGTTTTAACATGCAAAGTGCTTCGCACTTTGGCCCCCTGCCAGCAAAGCAGTTAGACACATGCTTAACTTTGTCTCATATTTCTTTGTATTCCCCATGTATCTGTTTGTATCTAGCTGTCGTCTATTGCCTTCTGCTTAGATTGTAAGTTCTGGAGGCAGGGATCATCTTTTTTCTTCTGTGTTTGTAAAACAGCTAACACAATGGGGGTTCTAGTCCCCATGAACTAAATGGAATAACTCTTACTTTCCACCAAAGTATTTGAACAAAATATTGGGCCAATAGTATTTATCACATTGGTCAGCTGCCAGATCAGAGTTCAGGATTCTGCATTTCCCCTTCAGTCAATGATGATAATGCAGCAACTTAAAGCTTTTGTAGGACAAACATGTTCTGTGTTTTCTGTCTATGTAAACCCTACAGATGAGGACCACTACCCTGCAAAATGACATTCATGGCTTTTCTCTTCCTAAGATTGGGTAGAATGGGAATCATGATCATGCAAAAGGCTAGGGGGCCTTTCCTAAAATCCACATATTATGTACCACATAATACAAGAGTGATAGAAATGTAGCCATGTTAGTCTGGTGTAGCTGAATTTGATTCATAATACAAGAGGACATTGAAGTCCCCGTTGATTTTGAGCCTAGCATGGTGCTAGTCTAACATCGTGTTTTCTGAGTGCAAGGCCTCTAATTGCATGTGACCCATGCAAGACTAGGCTTTCTCTTGGATTTCCTGGTTTCCCTCTGTTGTGTTTGATGCCTTTTCAAGTGCAGACTTTTTGTGCTTACCTTGAAAGCTGGGAACTGGAGGTTTCGACCTCCATTCAAGTGGTCAGCCTGATTTCAAATGCCATCCTCCTCCTTTGTTCCTCCAGCCTGATGAATTGCCAGAAATCCTGATGGAAAAGTAGGGGTATCTCATTATTTGTGTAATTTACCCATAGATTTTCATTCTGCATTGTCTGAAATGGTGCTTGTGAGTATTATTCACTGTTTTATAAACTGTCTTTAGCCGAGGATATACAGGGAAACCTTCAGAGATCTTTCCTGGTTTGCCTACAGTACTCTGGCAGGTGTTGTCTCAAATATAACATGCAGGGCATTTGTGACCTGTGGAAAACTTCACTTTCCTCTTACTCTAACCCTTTCAGGGTCGTCCAGGACCTATTGGGAACCAAGGACCTATAGGGGCTCCAGGATTTACTGGGCCAGAAGGTTTGGCAGGGGCAAAAGGTGAGAGAGGTGCAGTGGGCTATCCAGGATCAGCTGGACAAAAAGGAGACAAGGTAGGTTCAACAAACATTTTCCTCTTTTACCCTAGAGTAGATGTGATCACAGTAGCTCTTTATGAATTAAAAAAAATAGTACTGGACTTTCTCACTGCTGTTAAACAGATATACTATTTGAGAAACATCTCCAGAGAGACCACTGGGTTTAGTCTGAGGACAACAGTCTTGGTGGCTGAATTATACAGGGTAGTACATACAGTCCAGCTTGTTACCTTCTGCTGTCTGATTCACAGCACAATGAATTTCATTGTTGCATGTAAAGTCTTTTGCTTTATATAACCAACTGAATGCCTGTTGCCATGATATATTTCACAAGATGAGATGAAAGTGGGGTGGGATGTTACTGGGCTTCCCCTAGAGGAAAATGGAACAGCCTTACCAGTCTCAGATAGTCAGACTCTACCCAAGTCATGTGAATGGCCATCGTTTTAGCAGAGGAAATTCTGTGTTGGAAAGTGCAAATTAATGCACAATGCGGGAATAATATATAAATTCCTTCAGCATCTTACTAAAATGAATTATAAAAATGTCATAGAAAGACTGTAGCGTTACTAAACTCAGTGAGGACATCTCAAAGGGCCTCCATGGCCAAAATAACAAACACAATTATCAGCTATATAAGGAATAGAACAGAACACAATACAGAAGATATTATAATGCTGTTAGTGGTCAGGTCTGTCAGTCCATTTCAAATGGGATGCAGCAGAAATAGACGGCATTCAGAGACCTGTGATAGAGTGAAATAAGACATGATCAAACCCTTGTGTTAAGAAAGATTGAAAAGGGCTGTTTACCTTAGCAAGGAAATGAGTGAGGATATAGAATAAAGACTGGTGTAGATAAGGCAGAGAGGGTACTGCTGTGCAGCCTTTCTCCTCAGACAAGAATAAAAAAAAATCCAGAATTATGACAATAAGGGCTGAAAACAATTATCATGCTGGAAGAGACACACTACCCTGCTTTAGGGCAGATGTCAGCCTCTATCGTGAATTAGGAAGAAACTCTCCCTGAGAATCCTTTATCCTGGAGCTTCCTACTTTGCAACTTCCACTGAAGCAGCGACTATTGGCCATTTTGGAGACAGGATGCTGAACATAATGATCCACTTGTCTGCTCTGGGATAGCTGTTCCTGTCATTGACTTTTTCTTTTGCTATTTAGAGTTAAATGCAACTTCCAGTGCCTCTAACAACTTGGCAGAGACAACACCCCAGTATTCAGCTGGAACAGATGCAGGAGTAGTGTAAATTAAAATAATGGCTTGTGTATTTCTCAGTTGATAACATCTGAGAATAATGGCATAATCTGGTACAGAAAAAAATCGCAGAAACCATTGCAACATTTCTTGAAACTTTTGTGATGCCCGGATTTAATCCACATCAAAAGCCATTTATTATGAGCCAGGCATCACACCTTAGAGGTGCAATGACAATTTTAATTTCTCTTTTAAAATACTTAGTGAAAACATTTTTGGAATGTTAATTTGGCAGCCAGTCTCATCTCTGTTGACACTAATGACAGTGGAGGAGCCGGGGTCCCTAGAATTAGATGTTCTACTCCTTTCACTGAGCATATATGATCATCCACCCTCACAAGATGTAGAGTGAATGAGTTACCTGGTGTGATTTATGGTACTATATAAAGAATAAAATGAGTTTGACTGATACACAGGCTTGTCCAAATAAGACATTACTTGTGCCCTCTTTCCTTTAGGGTCCAATGGGAGTTCCCGGATTTCAAGGGATCAATGGGATTCCGGTGAGTTTTTGTGTGTATATACATAAATATAAGGCAATTGCTTTTGGCACAGAGACAGCATCACAGCATATGCAAAAGCACCATGCCAGGTTCATCCCAAATCTTTCCTGTAAAATTTATTGTAATAATTTTAATGTAATTATTTTACCACTTTACCTCCTGTCTGGGGCGAAAAGGGAGGATCCATTTGACTACATGGGGGCTTCATGTCATTCTAGAAGGGACTCATATATTTTGATGGTGAATATCAGATAAATGGACTTTTGCAAAACTTTGTGTTGTATAAGATCAAGAACTGAATCTGGGTAGATGGATGCATATTTGCATCTATAATGCAACTTCACCAGTTTTCAAAGGTGTTCACATCCAACATTTTAGTTCAGAATTACTTCTAGCAAACTCTTGTTGCAAGTGAAACTGCTAAATTGGCATTGAGAGACCCTACAGACATTGTATGCTTTACACACATGGGGCTAACTGCTTCTAATTTGGAACTGGGATGGACAGAACATTTTGCCAATGAAACAGGAAAGAAGTAGCTACAGCTTTTTCCAGGCAATGCACCTAAATACAAACTTTTCCTAGCTTATTCATGTTGTTTGGGTTATTTTTCTTCAGAATTTGACAGAGAACTTGAAATTTTTTTTATGAAAAAGTGCTTTCTATCAAAAGCTAAATTTTCATCATAAATTCAAAATCAGGAATTTTTTTACCTACTACACTCCTGTTTCCTTAGATGCCTTCATGCATAGATGTCTTCCAGACCCTTTCTTATTGGTTCTGGTTTTATTTTAATTTTTTTAAATATGTAATGCAGACTGTCCCACATTCCGTTCTTTTCTCTCTGCATTATTGGGTTTACTCTGCATTTTTCCCTTTCTGCATTTTAAATCTCTTTTTTCTCTTCCTTGTTGATTTTTTCCATCTTGTGTGCCCTTCCTTTTCCTCCACCATATGTGTTCTCCCTCACTCCCTTTTCTATAATTGATTAAATACTAAAAAAACTTGACTGTTTTTGAAAATGTTTGTAGCAGATATACAGTTGGGACCATGTGAGCTAGCTGTGCTCTGCTCTTTCCTTCTCTACCCAAGTTCCTCTTCCTGCTTTTACCAATTTCTTTTTTTCTCTTTTCCCCTAATCTTTTGCCTGCTTTCTGTACTCTTCTGCTTGCTGATTTTTTTTTAATTTGTCCACCAACCAATCCTCAGACTGTAACAAGAGCGAGCTGTTCCCATAATATTGAACATAATTAAACATACTCTGGGAACAAGCTGTTCTCAGGATATTTTTTCCAGTAAGGCTCTGAGGAGTGGGAATTCCCAACACGGGGAGGGTGATTCTGTTATGAAGAGTGCCAGGTAGCTGGTAGCTACAGACATTCCAAACAAGGGCTAGAGGAGTTAGACAAAAGGGAGTTGAAATCTAATGCCTGTCTGGATCTGATCTGTTTTCTTTACAGCCTCCTGCAGGTGGGTGAGTGATTTTGCTCATTGTGAAAAGTACATTATTCAAGAGTATGGCCCTTCTGCCTCTGAACTCTGGTCTGGATTGTAGCTGATGCAAAAAGGGGAAACTTTAAAAACAGTACATTTTGTTTTCATTCTTGCTGCTGAGATAAAAGGTTCCTTTTTCATGGTGAAAATAGAGAACCCTGCTGCGTGGGAAGTATTTATATGTTCTCCGGTATTATTGCCATTTCAGAATAGGGGGCAACGTAGATTGTTGTGACATACATATACACACATGTTATCCAGATTTGTGTTTGTGTGCATGTGTGAAATACATTGCTCTGCCTGCACCAGAGTTAACACCATATCTCCAAAGAGACTAGTGATGGTGTGTGGGCAGGAGGATGAGTAGTGAGTGGGTTTTATCAGTACTCAAGAGTTGTCCAAAGGGGACTCTTAGTGGAGGCCCAGTGGGAAGCGATGGCCAGCTGAGGTTGCCTGTGAAATGATGGCGTTGCAGTTGGGCTGATGCATCCCTTTGATCTCTAGTACATACAGCAGCAGCATGTGTTTGTTAATTGTTAGCCTTAGACAGATTGTACAAAAGGTTCTTAAATCCTCCTCTCTATTGCATATGTTTAATTTTTCCCATGGGGATTAGATTCAAACACATCCCTGGCAAAAGTTTAGAAGTGGAAATAGAAGATTTGTATGGTTTTAGCTGAGTATACAGGACTCTAAAAGGAAATGTTTCGATGTGAGTCATTGGCTGTGCCAGGAAACACAGACCCGGGGAGCAAGAGACTGTATTTTGTTCTTAGGCTATTTAAAGCTCTGATACAGAAAATACAGGATCTTGGCATTGGTCAGAATGGTCCCTTTGCTCTAATGATAAATGAAACTGCTTATTGCATTAGTTTTGCATTCACCCTTGATTGCATCTGTTTCCTTGTGTTTTTTTAAAACATTTGTTGAGCTCTCCTGTTGCAATTGCCTTTGCACTAAGTCTGTTTGACTTAGAAAGAATTCTCTTCAGAATCATGGTGTTAGTTTAGTGGGAGGGGGAGAGAGCAAGGCTTTTGTGGGACAAGTAACTTTGGAGGAACCAGTTCTCTTTCTACTTCCCAGGGAACCTTTCTCTTTATGACCCTCCTCCTCTGCCCCCTCTCCCCCCACACACTCACTTTGTATTAACAAACCATCCAACCTGCCATGCCATAATTACAGACCGTAAAGTTCTCCTAATTTAGGCTGTTGAGATACTTGTTCCCTTTGTGCTGAGCCAGCAGATCTGGTAAAGCATGTGATAGCCAGAATTAGAGAAGGAAGAGAGCAGTGAAAACAATCAGTCCCAATTTTCCAGGCCAAACAAGCTCTATTGATCAGTCGGGAAAAGATCTCATTTAAGGTTTAATGCTTGAAGATGATGGGCACCTGCACCACTCAAGTTAAAAGAGCATGTTGGGTAGAGCTCTCGAGATCATCCGGCCCTTACAAGAAGATATCATTAATTAACTAAGAATATAGCTTAGCCAGAAGGCAGGGTATCCTGTGCTTTTCACAGCCAAAGGGATGCATAATGTATTTGCGTGATACTTTTTCTAAAGAGGATTTAACTATCTGACATTTAGATATTGTGGCACCTGATACTACTATTTAAATTAAGAACGTTAGACATCAGGTAATTGAATAGTCATGTAATTGCATGAATTTTTATCAGTTACACGACTATTTGGTAGTCCCCAGGGGCGGGAACAGCAGCCAGTGCATTCCGGCCCCACTCCCAGGGAGCCCCCTGCCACACCATGCTGCTGCCTCTCTATCAGAAGCAGCAGCACGGGGTACCAGGAGGGAGCTGGTCCATGTGGGAAGCCAGTTTAAAAACCAGCTCCCTGCATGGACCAGCTGCCTGGCAACCCGTACTGCTGCCTCTGATGTAGAGACAGCAGTGCAGGGTGGCAGCAGTCCTTGTCTACAAGGGTCCGAGCTCCCCATGGACTGAAGCTGCTGTGGGGGGAAGCGGGAGAAAGAAGGTAGGGGTGGTTGCCTGGGCTGTCCACGGACAGACACTGGTCTGGCAGCAGCCCCTGTCTGTGGGGTGGTCTGTCCTCTGATACAGAGGCAGCAGGGTGGAGAGGGGTGGGTGTAGTCAACAAGATTAACTGATAAGCATAATCTTATGGGTTAATCCTACAGCTGACTACATGACTACATCCCTAATTTAAATTTCAAGTGTCAAGTGCTAACACCTTGGTATCTTGTCACTTTCTGTCATTTAAATACTCTTCACTCTACAAGTTCTAGGTCCATGCATTGTCCCTTTCCTGTAGGGAGAAGAAAGGCATTAAATCAGTACTCCACCAGTGCCTGATCCTTTGTAGTTGGGCCAGATTCTTCCCTGACTTACATCCATACTACCCCATTAATTCAAGTCAATGAAGCTAGACCAGGTTTATGAAGGAGTGAATGAGATCAGAATCTGGCTTATCCAGCACAGAAGGTGCTAGTAGGATTCTGGGGCTATGGTAGAAATGAAGAGACAAAGTGTGGGGTCCGGTTGTAACAATCCTTGGTGGTAAACTTACCAAAGTCCTTCCTGTCTCCATTCCATGGGGGTATTTGCTGAATAGGGCTTGAAAAAGAGCAATAATGACCCAATGTGTGTATTTTATTACAGAGCAGCATGGTGACCTAAGATACATTATAGCCAAGCCAGAGAAGCAAATTTACAGTGATTAGAGTGTTTTATTTTTGTAAAGAATCTTTTGGGGGGAGCCTGATGCTGTAGTATGAACTATGGTCTGCAGCCTGGTCTACACACAAACTTTTGCCTGATTTAATCATACTGGTTTACATATAGTGGTGCAAACCCTTGTGTGGACACTTATTTCCCTTTTGTATACTCCTGTTCCTTATTGACTTAAGCAAAATCAAAGTGAACCACTCCTAGCCCTGGTCCACACTAGGGAGCTATTTCGAAATAACAAGTGGAGCGTCCACACAATCGAGCCTGTTATTTCAAAGTAACAGGCTGGTTATTTTGAAATAACACCTCCTGCTTTTCATGAGGAATAACGCTTACTTCAAAATTGTAATTTCTGGAGTTATTATTTTGAAATAATTTCCAACATAGACATGCCCATAGAGAACTACCTCTGTTGAACAAATTCAGTTTAAATTCACACTTTTAGTTAAACCAGCATAATTCACTGTGTAGACAAGGCCTGAGAGTTCCCAAAACTGCCACCCAATTGCTGTATGTCTTTGGGCCAGTCTCCGAGGCCTAGATTTTCAGAGGTTTTGAGGCTTCTAAATTCCATTGAAATCAGGGCAAGTTAGAGGTCTAAATACCTTTGAGGATCTGGGCCTTTAACCTCTCTGTGCTCCTGCTATGTTAGTTTCATCTTTCATAAAATGAGGGTTATAGTTAGGGATGTAAAATCCCATTTAATTGGTTAACTGGTTAAATGTAGTGTTTAACAGGTTAACTGATTAAATGGGAGGTGGCTCCCCTGCCCACCATGACCGGGTTGGAGCCCCCAACCGCACCCCGCTGCTGCAGGCAGGAGCTGCTCCGGGTAGCTGGAGTAGCCCTTCCTACGGTGGGCACATGGGGCCGGAGCAACACCCTGTCTGTGGTGGGTATGGAAGTTACTCCAGGCCCTACCAGTTAGCCATACCAAGGGTGAAGCTTAGAAGTTAACTGGTTAACCATTCACATTCCTAATTATAATACTCACCATTTGTAAAGCACCTCACCAGCCTCAAATGAAAGGCATCTAGATGTGAAAAACTCTCCTTATGGGTTTTGACCTGGGCTTGTGCTATTGGCCTGGATCATGAGACATGAGCATGAAAGTGACGTGAGTTTGAATCCAATGGCGAGGAATGAAGAATGCATAGTTCCATAGATCCTTTTTCACTTCCCTAGTATGTGTCATTAACGTATCTGATGCTGCGCCAGAAAGATGAATCTTGGATTAATTGAAAATGACTTGTGATATGGTTCAGGTCTAGGGCTGTGGAGATAAACAGAGCTGTCACAAAATGCTGCCTCTGAATAGCGTGTATCTCATTCCTATGAGAGAGAGGATGGAATAAGGAAACATTTAATACACTGGCATTTTCTTATTGATGGTTCTGCCTGCCCTTGTACTGTCCACCAAAAATCCATATGTCAGTCAAGAGAAAACAATTAAATGGGCTACATTCTGACCTTCTTTACACCAGTGTAAACCTGAGTGACTCCACTGCAGTTAATGAAGCCACCCCAATGTATAACTGTTGTGAGATCAGAATCTGGAGCATTTCCCTAGCTTTTAACTGACCATTATAAATGACTTTTGTTAGAGGGAACAAGTTAAAGGCTTTCTAGGCAGTGAATAATTTGAACATAGAAGAGTTTGGAACTGTCAGGGCTTAGCATTTTTGGGCCTTTTCCTGCTCTGGCTTTTATACATTTAACTTCCATTGGTGGTGACTAGGAGTTACATCCCTCTGTACATTGGTCCACTGCCTGTTGTCTCCTACCAAGTATCTAGTGCTGTATTGGTTGCACTTTGCTAGGTCCTCACAAACACAACATGTGCTTCTTGTTACACCAACCCACACAAACAGATTATAATTAATAATCAAATAAATTAAGCTGAAGACTTTGCAATCAAGTTCCAAAGTGGAGCGTGCAGGCTGATTAATCTCTTACTACTGCCCTCTGCAGACTTGACTCTTTCGCTGGAGGAAGGGGAAAGTGAGAGAGGGGAAGGGGGTTGCCATATGGCAGCACTCAAACATGAACACTAGATGTTTAGCCTGTCTTTGTGTTGCACTGTAACTTAGTAGACACTGGGATTTGGGATTCAATATTTCCAATGCTAAAATACTATGTGTAATTCATTCTCTCTCTCTTTCACACAGGGCCACCCTGGTCAACCAGGGCCCAGAGGTTTCCCTGGCCTTGATGGCTGCAATGGCTCTATTGGAAGTCCTGGCATTTCAGGGGTGGATGGATTTCCTGGTACACCGGGGCCACCGGTATGTTCTCAGGCTAACACAATATTTTCTAGTCATTTAAATCAACTGTTGGCTTTCTTCCTGTTTATGCAATGATTGGGGAACATTGATAGTGTTATTAGAAATCAGCTCACATTGTTTCTAAATTCCATGTTGCCAGATTACAATAAACCTTCAGTCCCTAATGGTGCTCACATGGACTCATGGTGAACAAGATCTACCCCTTGTGAGCTCAATTCTGTGAGGTGCTGAACACCATGAAGTCCTACTGAATGACTGCAGTAGGAGTTGGAGGCGTTTGCAGGCTCTGCCAGCAGGCCCTGGTTCAAAATAGCATTTAAGTGTATTTTTTAGTCCCACCGAGTCAATTTAATTAAATCATTTGCTTTAAGCACCCCTCCTGCATATGGATGCATTCCCAAACTATGGTCTCACTAAAGAAACTGGGGTCTGGAAAGGTTACCAGCAATTTTACAAGCAAATTGATTTATTAGGTGTAATGGTTGCTCTGGATACCTCTTGTTATGAGTCGCATAATATAGTTGCAGTCTGTCACAACATTTCTCTAGCTGATGCCATCTTTCTTCAATCCCTTGCAAAGCACTTTTTCATAACGTGTTAATGATTGGCTAGATGGAAAGATTTCAAGTTAATTCTGAATGGAGAGGTTAAGTCTCGGACTGTTTCACTAGTATAGTTCCACATCACACCCCTCACAAGAATGATAGTCTGGACTTCCTTGTTTCCATGGGATTGCTGGGAATCCATTAATGCATTGTGCAAATCTGCATTAATCTGTATTTACTAACGACATCAACAAAACCTATGGTAACATTTTCAAAAGCGTCTAAGTCTCATTGAAAGTATGTAGGATTTAGGCTACTTAGTGAGTGAGCCCTAAATTACTTGGGCACGTTTTAAAATTTGACCGTAAGCCTTTAAATAAAGAAGTATAAAGATATGGAATTGTTTTCACATTGTACAGTACCATAAACACTGAATGGCTGGGGAAGTGATCTTACAAACCTTACTGATCTGAGTAATTCTAAATTCAACTACATTGCATGAATGTAATGTTGTGCGCACAAGCGGGAAATGGGAAGAAAATATAGTTGGCAAATATGAGTGACTCTGTTATACTGCATCTTTATTACAAAAATTGGGTACAAATGTATGCCTATGTCAAAACCTGAAGTTCATAGGATATTGAAAAAAACTAAACCATATGATCAAATCGAAGCGATGATTTCTAGAAAATCCAGTTTACTCATGCATACTGTTCAAATTTTTTTTATATAATCCTGTAGGATTATATTTTTGGCCACTCCATTATCTTCCTTTCAATTACATTGACAATTAACATGAAATTACCTAAAATAAATCTGATAGAATGATTAAGGTCAGATGGCTAAATCCAGAGCTATATGATGAATTCATCCTGCATATAACTGCAGTTTCTTTGGTAGATTTACCCCAGGGATCATTTTGTCCTGTAATGATTAATGGGTCTAAACTGAGTTTAAATAGATGATGATTGGTTCAATCCATTGGTTCAATCAATTCCTCTGTGTTGGAAAGATAGAAAATATGGCAAAAGACTGCCTTGGCTTAACCACGAGATCTTGCATGATCTAAAAATAAAAAGAGTCATATAAAAAATGGAAAGTAGGACAAATTACAAAGGATGACTATAGGCAAACAACACAGGAATGCAGGGGCAAGATTAGAAAGGCAAAGGCACAACATGAGCTCAAAGTATCTATGGGAATAAAGGGAAACAAGAAGACTTTTTAATAAATACATTAGAAGCAAGAGGAAGACCAAGGACAGGGTAGGCCCACTGGTCAGTGAGGAGGGAGAAACAGTAACAGGAAACTTGGAAATGGCAGAGATGCTTAATGACTTCTTTGTTTCTGTCGAACATAGTGAATGCTAGTGGGAAGGGGGTAGGTTTAGAAGATAATACAAAAAGAACAAGTTAAAAATCACCTAGAAAAGTTAGATACCTGCAAGTCACAAGGGCCTGATGGAATGCATCCAAGAATACTCAAGGAGCTGATAGAGGAGGTATCTGAGTCTTTAGCTATCATCTTTGGAAAATCATGGAAGACAGAAGAGATTCCAGAAGACTGGAAAAGGGCAAATATAGTGCTCATCTATAAAAAGGGAAATAAGAACAACCCAGGAAACTACAGACCAGTTAGTTTAACTTCTGTGCCAGGGAAGATGATGGAGCAAGTTAATAAGGAACTAATCTGTAAACACTTGGAAGGTGGCAAGGTGATAGGGAACATCTAGCATGGATTTGTAAAGAACAAATCCCGTCAAACCAACCTGATAGCTTTCTTTGATAGGATAATGAGTCTTGTGGATAAGGGAGAAGTGGTGAATGTGTTATACCTAGATTTTAGTAAGGCGTTTGATACGGTCTCGCATGATATTCTTATCAATAAACTAGGCAAATACAACTTAGATGGGGCTACTATAAGGTGGATGCATAACTGGCTGGATAACCATACTCAGAGAGTAGTTATTAATGGTTCACAATCCTGCTGGAAAGGTATAACAAATGGGGTTGCGCAGGGGTCTGTTTTGGGACTGGTTCTGTTCAATATCTTCATCAACGATTTAGATATTGGCATAGAAAGTACGCTTATTAAGTTTGCAGATACCACCAAGCTGGGAGGGGTTGCGACTGCTCTGGAGGCTACGGTCATAATTCAAAATGATCTGGACAAATTGGAGAAATGGTCTGAGGAAAACAGGATGAAGTTTAATAAAGACAAATGCAAAGTGCTCCACTTAGGAAGGAACAATCAGTTTCACACATACAGACTGGGAAGCGACTGTCTAGGAAGGAGTACAGCAGAAAGGAATCAAGGGGTTATAGTGGACCACAAGCTGAATATGAGTCAGCAGTGTGATGCTGTGGCAAAAAAAGCAAACATGATTTGGGGATGCATTAACAGGTATGTGAGGAAGAAACGAGAAGTCGTTCTTCTGCTCTACTCTGCGCTAGTTAGGCCTCAGTTGGAGTATTGTGTCCAGTTCTGGGCACCGCGTTTCAAGAAAGATGTGGAGAAATTGGAGAGGGCCCAGAGAAGAGCAACAAGAATGATTAAAGGTCTAGAGAACATGACCTTTGAAGGAAGGTTGAAAGAATTGGGTTTGTTTAGTTTAGAAAAGAGAAGATTGAGAGGGGACATGATAGCAGTTTTCAGGTATCTAAAAGGGTGTCATGAGGAGGAGGGAGAAAACTTGTTCATCTTGGCCCCTGAGGATAGAACAAGAAGCAATGGGCTTAAACTGCAGCAAGGGAGGTTTAGGTTGGACATTAGGAAAAAGTTCCTAACTGTCAGGATGGTCAAACACTGAAATAAATTGCCCAGGGAGGTTGTGGAATCCCCATCTCTGGAGATATTTAAGAGTAGGTTAGATAAATGTCTATCAGGGATGGTCTAGACAGGATTTGGTCCTGCCATGAGGGCAGGGGACTGGACTCAATGACGTCTCAAGGTCCCTTCCAGTCCTAGTAGTCTATAATTCTGTGATCACAGAACAGACACATGTATGAACAGAGATGTTAGTAATAGTCTTTGATAATATGTAAAAATGCTGAGACACAGTTGTCTGAAGGTTCAAAAGAAGAGAAATGTAAGTAAATTTGGGAAATGCCAAATAAAATATTGATATATCTTGATTTAATTATAGCATGAAGATGCTTAGGTGTGAGAAGGCATATATAAAGGGGTAGATCCTCAGCTGGTATAAGTTGGCAAAATGCTGTAAAGGAGGGGTCTGCCTCTATATATTTTGAATAACATTTTCTCAAAAGAAAGGTATAAAGATGATAGAAAAATTATTTTATACTTTCATTCTTTTAAAAACAGGGTCGCTTTGGTCCCAAAGGTTCCAAAGGAGAACCTGCCTATGCCCAAGGTGGCCTTAAAGGAAGTAAGGTAAGAGTTGCCAGCATGCGGGAGAAGACATAGCAGAATAAACTTTCATGCAGAGCTGCAAGTGGGCTGGTATGGGCCAGTGTGATATATCCACAAAAAGCAGCTGATGGTACTAGGACATTAAAGTGCTGCCACAAGGTCTGGCAGCACTGCCAATGAGGGGGAGGACAAGGGGCAGCTGCTCTGGGGCCCCTTGATTTAAAAGGGCCAAGGGCTCCAGGCTACCACTACTGCAAGAGTGAAGGTCACAGCCTCAGTGGGAGCCCCATTCCCTTCAAATTGCCACTGGGACTCCTGACTCATTCATTACCTTTCTGCATCCAACCCTTACACAAATACTTGATATATAGCATGTGGACACACATACGCTAGTGCTACGTGGATGCTCACTACTTATAAGTAATTAAAACTAGTCAAAGTGAAAAAAGTTTTCTGTGAAACACTTCACCAAATTTTGTTCTCCTTTTTTGGTCAAAGTTTTGAACTTTTCAAGTTAACTTATTAATGTGTATGAAATAGATAGAACTTAGATGTTTATGGAAAATGATCACCATTTGAAATGTTAATAGTTAAAGATATATTTAACATTAAGCAGCACTTTAAAAAAATGTTTAACCAAAATTCAGTGATGTATTACTCCTAGTACAAATTTAGATTATCTAGGTGTTGCCTTTGCTCAAACATAAAGGTATGCAGTTCCCATGGTGTATGGTCAGGACTCCCTTCAATGTCTGATCCAAATACTTGCAATTTAAGTATGAATATTTTTTCTAATTACTTACCCTAAATATTTCTCTTTATACAACTATAGTGCCCATAGATAATCTATTGTTATGATAGTGTATTTTTCATTAATTTATTTTTAATTTTTAGGGTGAAAATGGTCTTCCTGGATTGGATGGGATTTCTGTAAGCTATTTAAAAATATGATTTCAAAAATAAATTGTTTGTATTACTGAATACAAGGAAAATAATAAGGTTTTTAGGTCAATGCCTTCACATTATTAATTGTTTGCATTAATCAGTTTAGGCACATTTCTATTCAGTGGGCCAAATTCTGATTTTAGTAACATAAGTGTAAATCCAGAGTAATTCCACTGGCTTCAATGAAATTACTCCAAGTTTACATCGTAGTAAACAAGATTGGATTTTGGTCAAACCTGCACTGAATTTCACATTTAAAACTAACACCTTTCTAATGCTAAACTCTGTGACAGTGTTTTTCCTGATAAATGAATGCTGATGTCAAATAAATTATGTGTTTTAATTGAGAGATATTTTTCCAGGGATACTGTCAATGGTTTTTAAGACACTTTCTATGTTAAGCTTGTCAGGATTTGATGAGGAAAGTCCTGGTCATTCGGTAGACTTTTATTTTATGTGCTTGTCCTTGCAATTCCCATTTTATCACTGAAGAATTAGAAGGGACACTGCCAATTGAAATTTGGTCTCGAATTAACTTTTTGTAAAAGCAAACTTTTATCAAATGTATGGCTAAAGGAATATTTCCCTTGTCTGTAACCATGTGCCTCCTTCTACAGTTTTTGGAGGGAACATTCCAAAATGGTAATTCATTGTCTTTCTAAGGGTATATCTAGACTACATGGCTCTGTCACCAGAGCCATGTAGATTAGTTTACTAGACATACCCAAATGAAGCCACGATTTAAATAATCGCCGCTTCATTTAAATTAAAATGGCTGCCATGCTGTGCCAATCAGCTATTTGTCGGCTCAGTGCTGTAGTCTGGACTCTCCGTGGTCAACATCAAAGGCTTTGGTCGACCTCCCCGGTATGCCTTGTGGGATGAGGTTTTCCGGGAGGTCGACAAATGCCTTTGATGTCGACTGCGGAGCTTCCAGACTACAGCGCTGAGCCAACAAACAGCTGATCAGCACAGCGTGGCAGCCATTTTAATTTAAATGAAGCGGCGATTATTTAAATCGTGGCTTCATTTGGGTATGTCTAGTAAACTAATCTACATGGCTCTGGCGACAGAGCCATGTAGTCTAGACATACCCTCAGAATCTAGTCTTGTGAAATACTGAGCATCCTCAGCTCCCAGGAAAGTAAATTAATTTAAATATACTTAGCCTCTCATCTAAAGCACTTGCTATCTCTCCTAAGAGAGCCTGTATGACAGACAAAGTTAATGTTTGCTTTTGGGATGAGAGTATTTGTTAATTAATAGAAACCAGTGTTGCATTCTAGTCTGTCGTCTTGTATCCTGATATTTACTCATTTATTAAATTAAGGAAGATCAGGCATCAGTGAAAGGCAGATCAGAATGGTGACAACTGGTTAAATGGGAGGGTGAGAACTAAAGAGTTGAGTTTTTTTTAATGTATTTCCTAAAATTTTTTATGATAGGGTCCAAAAGGTTTCCCTGGCCCAGCAGGGTTTATGGGTCCTATAGGATTGCCAGGTGTTCAGGTAAGGAAACCTTTCCCTTTGCATTCAGTGTTGTTAATAAAGTAATGCTATAAACAGGTATTTCCTCATCACTGTCCATTTTCATATCCCTGAAATTGTTAATTACCTTTGTGAAAATGGTGATTTGGCTACAAAAACCTGCATGGCTGTGAAACATAAGCGAAAATTATTGTCTTTGAAAATGTCATAAAAACAGGAACAATTCCAAATGTTCAACAATAGGAAAACTCCATTACTCTCTGCATTCACCTTGGTGAACCCCTAGCAGGGCAGACTCACTGCAGGGAACATAATATTGGGAACAACATATGTAGTTGGCCTTTTAAGTACAACTGGACAAGACAGCATGACATAACACTTAAAATGGGACCATAGGAAGTTGGATCAACTGTCGAGCAAAACTGACCATATTTATACAAGAAGGGACCACTAATGCAGCATGGTCACTTTTAAATACAGAATATTTTTTAATTTAGAGTATAATGCAGGCAGTAGAGTAAAACTTCTGCTCTTTGTACGGTGTATTGATCACTAAGTCCCAATCCTGCAAACACATGCATGCTTGAATTTACTAATGTGAGTAGTTCCTACTCATAGTAGCAAAACTGTTTGTGTGTTCTGGCCTCTGCAGTATCCTGAGAAATTACCCTTGAGAGGTATGCATTCAGGAGACTAGAAGACAATGTCAGTTTGGCTGGTATAAAATGCAGTAATTGCAGAATACTTGAGTCATTTGTGTGGAATGATTCAAATTTGGGGCCATGTATTCTGGAACTAGGAATGCTGGGAGTGCTTCTTCATCCCTGGCTTGAAGTGTTTTCCATCATGCATGGGGTTTGCAGTTTGGTTCAGTGGCTCTTAGTACCCCATTCTACTAATTATCCCAGCTCCCCTATTCAGAGCTGCAGTTTTCTTTAAATTGTTGATTTTAATGTATCACCGTGACAGTGTGCTTTCCTGGCCACCAAAAACCTTCAAAGGCCCATTGAAGTCACTAGATCTTGGATCAACCTCAAGTGAACAGCATCCCAAAATTATGTTAAATGCCCAGACTTTTTTCTTACATCATTTTCATCCACTTTTTTAAGTTAAATAAAATCTTGATATTGTTCATGTTTAGGGGCCAATGGGTGCACAGGGGCCACCAGGACCGAAAGTGAGTACCTTCCCTTTGTGCTTTCTTTTCATACCCGAGTACTAAAGAGAAATTCCAGGGGTTGTGTGGGAGTTTATTATTTTTTATCATTGTTTCTCTTTTCATCCATTTAAATGTAAATATTTTATACCGTTGGATGAAAGATGCTAACCTAGGACTGGATTTAGCAAAGCATTTTAGCAAGTGATTAAGTCCCACTGAAGTTATATGCTTGAGTGATTTCTGCATTATGACCATAAGTGCCAATTTCTCATTGCCATCATCAACATCCTCTTTATTCATTAATTCTTACTGTTTTTCCCTCAGGGAAACAAGGGATTAGGTTTCCAAGGAGAGACAGGTGAAAAGGTAAGTGGAAGTGATTTGCTTCTGTAGAGAACTACAAAACCAGTGATCCGTAGCCCAAAAAGTGCCCACTAAAAAGCTCTTCAGATTTCAGCTCCGCCATTGGGAATTTCAGTACACATTGGCAGGGCTTGACAAACAGCGGCGAAATCTACTCGCCACGGCTGAGTAGAAACAGCGATTTGTCGAGCCCTGCACATTGGTATTTAAGCCGTATGTTGAATAAACAGACTGAAGGTGACTTCCCAAAAAGAATTTATTCTAGGACACTTAGGCCAGATTTACACTGGCAGAAAAAAATGGATATAAGATACGCAATTCCAACTAAGACAATTGCATAGCTGGAGTTGATGTATCTTATATCGACTTTCTGGGGTGGCCCCACCACGGGAGGTCAATGGGAGAAATGCTCCCATCCACTTCCCCTACTCCTCGCAACTGCACAGAGTACCATGGTCGATGGTGTTGCCGTTAGTGTTCAGTGTATTGGATCTTTACTAGACCCGCTAAATCGAATGCTGGAAGATCGACAGCTGCAACATCAATCTCCACTGCAGAGAAGACAAGCCCTTACTACCATGATCAGAAATTCTACTTATTGACAAGACAAAATGGAGTCCAAGGAGGAGGAGAGTTAAGATTGCAAAGGAGCAGGGCTGGGGTGGCATTCCTCACAGGTAGAAAGGCAGTGGTGGAAAAAAATCTTCTAGGACCCAGTGCTTCATGATTAGAGCCTTGCAAAGCCACCGGTATCACGGATATCCACCATTCACTTTTGTGGATATTGGAGTCATTGCAGATACCAAAATGGTGGGGGCATTCCTAGCAAGGAGCTGTGGCTGGAGCACTCCACAAGCACTTCCACCTCAGAGCTTGACCCTCTCTGTCCCCTTCCTGGTGTTTATTGGGTAGCAGGGCTGGGGTGCTCCTGATGAGGAGCATGGCCGGGGCATGGGCTGCTATGTCCCGCCAAGTTCTTCTAACAGGGAATGGGACAAGCACCTACACCTCAGTCACGTTCCTCACCGGGAGCACTCTGACCCTGCTCAGCAGGACAGAACGCGGGATGGGCTGCTTAGTAGGAGTGTGGCTAGGGCACAAGTTCTTGGCCCGCTCTGCCCCGCCAGGTGCCCCTATAGTGGAGCTTGTCTCATGCTCTACTCGCTTCCTGGCTCTTACTGGGGAGCGGGGTTGGGGTGCTCCTCCCGCATCGTGTTAGGAGCACCTGGCAGAGGGGAGTAGGACACGCACATTATCCCGGCCATGCTCCTCACCAGGAGCACCCTGACCCTACTCCCAGTGAGTCTGGGAAGCAGAGCCAAGCACGGGACAAGCTCCGCTGTAGGAATTCACCAACCCCGCACCCTGGTAAGTGACAGGCAGAGCCCTGCAAATTCACGGGTATCCGCACCCACGGACCAGGATGCAAATGGCCATGGATCAATTTGCAAATACAGATGTGGGTACGGATACAAAATTTGTATCCATGTGGGGCTCTGCCTGTGATGCTGCATCTCCTGCAAGGAAGGACTCCGCTGAGAGATAATGACTCTCCACACTTGTCAGAGTCTTATCCTTCATTCCATTCTGTTTCTTAGCTCTCCTGGTAATTTGACTCCATTTAGCTTTCTGGCTATAATGGGTCATATTCCAGAGTGACATACACTTTATACCAGCCCATTATCTAGAGTGGTGTTTACTTGGCATGCACAAAAGTGCAGTTCTGCACCCGCTAGATCCTTGCAGGGTGAGACTTTTCAAAAGTGCCCAGCATTGGCCTTACTCTTCTCCCATTGTGGCCAGTGGTAAAATCCCTATTGACTTCCCTGGGACCAGAGTCAGGCTAACACTAAATGCTCTTGAAAATCCCACTGTGCCCAGTTTTAGGGAAGCGTGGGTAGATAGTACAGAATTAGACTTTTCCTGTACTTCCAGAAATGACTTCTGCTCACATCGTCTGTTTCTTGATGTTTTATGTCTGTTACCTCTCAGTCTTTCTAGTTGACTTGCCTTTCTCTCTTGCATTTTCATCACTTTTGTATCTGCCTTCTGGTTCTTTCCTCTATTTTTCTGCTTAATCAAGAACTGGCCTTTCTTTTCCTAACATGCTTTGTTACTTCACATTACTTTAATCCAATGTGTTTTGCTCTTGTTAATTTGCAATCTGACCTTTTGGGTTTCATGGCCAACCTCCCACATCAGCCTTATACTCTGCATGCAAGACCTGAATTGAGGGGTTTTCAGTGGCTCATGAACCACACACCTTAGGTCTAAGATGTTCTGCTTACATTAATGTCTTCCCCAATTGTCAACAGGGAGATGTCGGTCTACCTGGACCTGCAGGTCCCCCACCATCCACTGGGGTACTCGAGTTCATGGGATTTCCAAAAGGGAAACCAGGAGCACAGGTTTGTAAACACAACAAAACAGTGCTGAATTGTTGCTTTCCTTAATGCTAAGGCTAAATGAAGTAGCTAGACAATCCTAGGGTTGTTCAAATCCTGCATGAATTGGTTCTCTATGGTGTTTGTAAAATGAATATTGTGACTTGGTTTTTGAGAGAATAAGAATCGAACTAGTCCCTACTGGTTCACTTGGAGGGTCAAAATCCAGTTTCCAAGGAGTGGGGTATTTCCCTCTTTTTGCCCACATAACATGGGGTTTTCTCTCTCACTTTAGTGATCTCCAATACCAACAAGTCTTGAAAACTCCCGAGGAAAGGTTCTTCAAACAGAAATAATTCTCTGTAAAGGAATATTACTGTACCAAAATAAGCAGCAGCCCATTTTCCAAATACTGTGCCTGATCTGATGCTCATTAAAGTGAATGGAGATACTTCCAGTGACTTCAGTGGGCATGTGTATAGGCCCAGCTTTTGTCAATATTTGTAGCATCTTTTTCAATATTTGGTTGCGTTTGCTCAGAGTTGAGCGCATGTTGTGGGAAGCATGCTATTTAACTTCTGTTCCCTTGGGAAGGGTAAAGATTAACAATTTGTCTTGCTCTCCTGTGATGGTTCTGGATTGTAAAACATGGGTTGTTTGCCTGGCATAAAAATGAAATGTGGTGATTATATCTCGTTTGTTTTGTTTAAAGCCACCCGTTACACAGGCCAAGCTGTGTTTTCTTTCTGCAGCTCTGTGACTGATAAACTGAGCTAGGATCTAGTCTAGTCAGGTGAAAGAGGGCTAATCAATATACTTCTGCACTAGTTTTTAAACTACTACAACACAGTGGGACTCACCACCACAGTGCCTCCTGCTGGTCACTTGGAAAGCAGCTCATTTCAGCCCTGGAGTGCCCCCTTTCGGCCAGTCTCTCGCTTGCTGTTACCTTTTTTCTTCCACCTCTGTGTGTTAGGACCCACGTCCCTCCTAGACTGTGTTGCCCTCCCACCTAGGTACTGCCCAGCTGCAGTGCCCCCACACTCTGGGGTTCTCCCTTTTGGGGAACTCCCAATCCTCTGTACCCACCTTGCTTCAGTGACCCACTACCAGTTGTCATCTAGCCCCTGCCACTGGGGCAAACTGCAGTCTGAAATGGCCACTCACCATTGGCAAGGGGGTGTGGACCTGCTGCCTTTCCTGTCCTAGTTGTGTCCCTTAGTACTCTCTGGCCTTGCTTCAGGCCCTGCTGCTTGGGCGCTTGCCTGGGCAGAGTTTCTCCAGCTCTGCCTGCCTTTCCCTAGCCCTGCTCTAAGTCAGGAAACCTCTAGCTTTCCTGGCAGCTACATCCCCTCCTGCTCTACAACTAGAGCAAGAATGTGTGTCCCTCCACTCCTCCAGGAGCCCTTATTTATACAGCCTCAGCTGGGCCCTAACATGGCTGTCTCTGCCTCAGTGGGTGGCTCCACCTGGGTTTTAACTCTTAAAGGGCCAGTACAGAGCAGATGCCCTGTCACAACTTCCTTAAATCCTTTTGAAATGAAATCTTATGGTTGGCTCAGTTGCGTTAGAGAGAATCCAAGTCACCCAGAAAGGAATCTTAGGTAGGCTTAAGTTCTACATCTAAAAAGTGAATACACAAAATTAAGAGCTATAGCTCATTTCTGCTAGATTTCTGAACTATGAAACCACATTAACCCAAGCAGAAAACTTAATCCTCTTTGAAAAATAAACAAGGAAGAGTGAAGCTATAGCTTTTTGTTGTTGCTATGCTGCACATTGGTCAAAAATAGTCAGATTCATGTGCTTGATTGTGCCATCCCCCGCATTTATTGAGCTATATATTTAGCTTACCAGTATTTGTAGAGACATTATAAGGATCTGGCATAAATCCTGAAGTTTTTACCCCAGCTAAACAAGGACTGAGTGTGGTCTGCTGGTTTGGGACTCTGGATAGTCTCATTTGAGGCCTGATTCTGATCTTACTTCTGTCTGAATGTCAGGAGAAATTCCCTGCACTCAGTGTAAATACTTTGGTATGAGCACAGACCCAGGCCTTTTTGTTGGATATCTCTGTCTCTCCGTTGTACGGTGGTAAGTGTAATTGTGAACAATATGTGTTTGTGAGGCATGATCCTGCCCAAGCTGAATATCTGCCGTGAGGTGCAGAGCATACTCTGTAGCTACCAACTTCCACGATAAAGGAGGGTGCTGAGCACTTTGCAGCTTACCCATTGGGTTTGGAGTTTCCCTTCCAGCTTTGGACCTGGCTCTTATGAAGTCATCTGAAGGGGGGATGGAGACACACTGGGTGATGAGAGAAGGTCCATCTCAATGTTCCTTTTCAGGGTGTGGGACAAGCTTCTTTTTTTCAACTCATCCCTTATATGACTCACTCAAGGTGTTTAATTTTTCTTTGTTGGCAGGGTGAGCCAGGCCCTAAAGGATTCCCTGGGGTTGGAGGATTCCCTGGCCCTCCGGTAAGGCTGATTTTACTTTTAAATATTCAGTGTTAATAGGTGTGCTAGGTGCATAGGTGCATTTGAAAATCCCATTGGGTGTTGATCTGTAGGGTAAGGCCCCTATGAGCCTGTGAAAAACTAGTTGTAAGGCCTACAGGTTTTGTTCCTCAAGTGGAAATGTATCTAGGAGCTCTTTCTTAGGCAGATTTTGAGACAGTGGGGCTGCTGTACAACAAATAGCACAGTCACTGAAATGCTTTCATTTCCTACATTTGATTTGCAGTTTGCAGTAGGGATGTAAGCAACTACTCGAGTAGTCGACTACTCGATAAGCTTAGGCTTATCAGGTAGTCAAGCCATTACTTAACTATGCGTTCCCCCACACCCCACTTGCTGCCTCTGTATATGACACAGCAAGGGGGTGGGTGGAAGGAAACATGAGTCAGTGCTGTGGGGTAGCCGGCTTTAAAACCAATTCCTCCCAGTACCGTCTCCATGGTGCGGAGGGAAAGGCAGAGCTACAGCAGTCCTGGAGACTGTGAGAGCCAGGACTGTTCAGTCCTGGCTAAGGATGTTACGGACTAGTCGACTAGTTGACTATCTGATAAGCAAATGCTTATAGGATAGTCAAGTCGACTAGTCACTTCCCCCCACCCCTTGCTGCCTCTATTAGATAGAGGCAGCAAAGGGGAGGGAAAGGAAACACCGCCATGGTGAGCTAGGAACTCTTGTACATTTTAAAGCTGGCACCCATATGCAGCCCGGAGTCAGCAGGACTTCCCGCCTGCCCAGGGCTGCACGCGGAGTTCCGCATTCCTCCTTTGAAATGTACAACTCCATCGACTATTCGACTAGTAAATTACTCGATACTTAACATCCTTAGTTCCGGCTTGCACTGGTTCTGGGAGCTCCCCCGCTGCAGCTTTACATTTTAATTGTAGTAAGAGCCCACTCTTAAAATGCAGAGCCATAGTGGTCCTGGAGCCAGCAGTCCCAACTCGTGCCACCCCCAGGAGCTAACCTGCAGCAGCTCTGCAAGCACCTCCCCCCTTATCAACTAATCAAGTAATTAATGGAAATTCCATCGACTATTCGATTAGCTAATTAACCACTACTTTAATATCCTGAGGCTAAGTTTACTCCACAGTGCTATTTCAGGATACTGGAATATCCCAAAATAGCTATCCTGCATCTTCACAGCAAGCCCGTTATTTCAGGCTTGCTATTCTGACGTCCCTGTAAACCTCATTCTGCGAGGAGTAAGGGATGTTTCAGAATAGCACTTGATTTCAAAATCTGGCACTGTGCAGACAGCACCAAATGACGAAATAAGCTATTTTGAAATAGCATTGAAATAAGTTATGCAATTTGCATAGCTCAAATTGCATATCTTATTTTGAGTTATGGTGCTATGTAGCTGCACCCCTAATTTGCAGGGGTGCTTTAAAGTCAGGACAACCCTGCACATGGCCACTAGATGGCACCATCTCTTAACAATCCTTAATGCAGTTTTTCCTCTAATGCTACTTAAACATAGCTTTTCTTTATTTAACTTTAAAGTTGTAATACCTTGAGCTTTAATGCTCCATAACTCAGTGCTGTGTAACAGCCACACTGTCATGCATGAAGAATAACAGCTTTCCTGTTTATCAGGAGATTGGAAGGTTGTTTTCTACAACCTCAGCCATTTGTAAATACATTAACTTTAGTTAAATTTAAGGGACAAATATTTTATGAAGCTTCTGAAGCATAGGGTAAATTGTTTACAAATTGCTTTTATATATATATATAT